TATAAAACTCTATGTTGTACTTAATACCCTGCCCCTGCACTATAACTCTAACTCCGGGGAACCCCCTGCCCAAACCTTAATTAATTTACCCCCCCCCCCCTTTTTTTTGTTAAAATAAAACAATTGTGTTTAACATTGTTGTACTAGTCCATAGTCCCGAGGTACCCCTGGTCCCCCCCTTTGTTCCCATACTGTGTGTTCGCAAGAAACCCTACTGAAATCTATCGCGCTCATGTTTTGGTACGCAGGCAATTGCTGCTCAGCTACATTTAGGACCTTCCCCCCCAGACCCTATTGTACCCCCCGTGAGGTGTTTTTGTGTGGTGCAAATATTACTAAAAACGTAAGGTCAATAACCGACTTTCCCTGCCCCTCAATGCGGGTTGCGTTTTTGTTTTTTTGAACTGAATTGAGCTGTCCTAGCACACAAACCAAACTGAATGTGAACCAATGAGGCCTGTTCTCCTGTGAGGTTGCGGAGGGCAGATCTTAAAAACCACACGAACAGAGCTGCCTTTTACCACCCCCAACTGCTCCCCTTTTTAGCTGCAGAATCAGCAGATGGGGTAATACACATGCTGTTGATGAAAGGCGGGAAATATCCCCCCTCCAGGAGCAATGGGGTTGTAACTACAGGCCACTAACCACAACAGTGTGTGCTTTGCATACAGGTTGTGGTGTTGGTGATTGGAATGCAGCTTTTTACGGGGTTAAGCCAGTGTGGTTTCGAGGCAAACATATTGCCTCTTTACCCCTGGTCCATTGCCACTGGAACAGCCGATTGAGAATGGATTGCTTTTACAGAGGAGCAGCTCAGTCCTTTGCTGCTTATGAACACGTTCCTAAAAAGCAGTTCTGAATAGGACCAGGAATAGGGGGTCGAGATTCAAAGTAAAATACATATAAACACATATAAAAACAAACACATGTATACCACACACAAAAAAACATATACAAAAAAACAAAAAACACATAACAAAAAAACATGGTACACATAACATATAAAACACACACACACATGTACAAGCAAAAAATATAAACAACAAAAACATAAAATTATACAAACACAACACAAAAAACAAAAAAAATCAAATAAATACAAACACACATGTAAAAATAACACATATAAAAAACACCACGCAAAAACATATAACAAAACATGTACTAAACACAAAAAATAAAAAAAAACAAAAACAGTGCATCCAGGAAGTATTCCCAGCGCTTCCACTTTTGCCACATTTTGTTATGTTACAGCCTTATTCCAAAATGGAATTCCAATCATGTTTTTTCGCCTCCACATTCTAAAACAAATTTCCCATAATGACAACTTTGAAATACCCTTAAATTATTCTGAAAATTGTCCCTTTGCAATTTTTTAAAAAATAAAAACCATTGACATAAGTAAACACACCCAGCCTTTGTCCCCCGTGAAACTCAGCATTGAGCCTGTGGAGCTAAATACTGTTCCCACTGATCATCCTTGAAATGTTTCCAGAAAACTTTGATTGGAGTCCATCTGGGGGACATTCAGTGATTGGAACCATGATTAGTAAAGGCATCCAAATCCTGTTCTATAGAAGGTCCCCACAAAAAACCAGTGACAATGACCAGGCACCCACAAAACCAAGCCATTTGAAGTCCAAAGGGAATTAGTCCGTAGACCTCCGAGAACAGGATTGTGTCAAGATACTACAGATCTAGGGGAAGGGTTTACAGAAACATTTCTGCAGCCTTGAAATCCAATGAGCACAGTGCCCCCTCCCCAATCATATGTAAATGGAAGAAGTTTGGAAACCCCAGATCTTCCTGAGCGGCCGCATGACGTGTGCTTTTTGAGCAATCGAGGGAGAAGGGCCTTAGCCAGGGAGGTAACCAAGCACCCCTCCGAAAAAAAAAAATGGTCGAATCCTGGAAGAATGTAAGATCCTCCAGCAATAGAGGATAACTCATCTCACTGAACAGATTGAGGATAACCTTTTAGAAACACAAACCATGTCTTGGCAGCACTCCACTATCAGGCCTGTATGTGGTAGAGTAGGACAGACGGAAGCCACTCCTCAGTAAAAAACAAATGGCTAAGCCCACCTAGAGTTTTGCCAAAAGGAGCACTTCAGGGTAACTTTAAGACCATGAGAAACAAAACTCTCTGGTCCTATGAAACTAAGATCGAACTCTTTGGGCCAGAGATGACCAAGCGTTATATCCTGGAGGAAACCAGACACCGCTCACAACCTGCCACTGCCATTACCCACCCTTACAGTGAAGCATGGTGGGTTTGGCAGCATCAATGCTGTGGGGATGGTTTTTCTTGGCTTCCCCCCCCCAACTGGGAGAACTAGTCCCCAGGATCGAAGGAAAGATGAATTGCAGCAATGTACAGAGACATCCTTGATGAAAAACCTGTTCCAGAGCGCTCTGGACCCTTAGACTGAGGTGAACGGTTTTCATCTTTCAGCAGGATCAACGACCCTAAGCACACAGCCCACATAACAAAGGAGTGGCCACAGGCCAACTCTGTGAATGTCCTGGAGTTGGCCCAGCCAGAGCCCATGGACTTGAACCCGATTGAACATCTCTTTGAGAGATCTGAAAATGGCTGTGCACTGACCTCCCCATCCAACCCTGATGGAGCTTGAGAGGTCACTGCAAAAGAAGAATGGGAGAAATTTTTGCCAAAAAATAGGTGTTTGCCAAGCTTGTAGCATCATACTCCAAATGACTTGAGCTGGAATTGGTGCTAAAGGGGCTTAAAACAAAGGATTGAGCAAAAGGCTTGGAATACGTTTGTACATAGGGGGGGAAAGGGGGATTCCCCCCCCAATTTTTATTATAAATTGCAACGATTTTAAAAATGAACTTCTTTCACATTGTCATCTACGGGGTATGTGTTTGTAGAATGTTGAGGAAAAATTAATTTGATCTATTTTGGAATAAGGCTGTAACATAACAAAATGTAGCAAAAGGTAAGCGCTGGGAATACTTTTGGATGCACATGTACACACACACATGTACACACACACACCACATGTACACACCATACATGTACACACACACAGGAACATGTATAACGGCATTATAAAAAGTTACAGTATATTAGCTTCCATCACTCAGCAGAGGAGCACAGAAGACACTCCCCTTTGCTTTCACTTTGCTCAGCTGTGTGACGATTCCCAGTGCCGACATAAACACTGTGGCTGGGGATCGGGAGCTCGGGCTTTAAAGTGATAGCCAATCTCACCCACGGCACCCCCTGAAGACCTCTGGTGGGCACCCCGGTTGAGAGAGGCGGTATTTTTTAATTGGAGTACAAATTTATATTCCTTGCTAAAACATTGTAAGCTTAAACAGAAAGTTGATAATGAGGGAGGAGTCAATACCCTCAATGATGGTGGTCTTCGATCAGTCCAGTCTTCATCTTGGTTTTCTCCCCCATCCTCACTCTCTGTCCTCTGGTGGGGCTCAGCCCCGCTGTTCTTCATGACTAAATCATCATGGACTAAATAAGGAAGTGCAGTACTTCTTGTGTTGGGAAGATGGCGATGATGATAGAGTGGGGTGGGGACCCTCGTCCTATAATCCCCTCATCACTGTCCCTCCTATAAAAGAACAGTTCTGGTTGTTTCCTCACTCTTTGACTAAGGTCATGAAAAAGAAATGACCTTGGTTAGGAGATCAGAGGAGCTCCATTTCCTAGTTCCCTTGAGGGTGGAATTGTAAGCTCCTCAGAGACCAAGCTGCCTGATGTGGGCGGAGTCCTTGTTTTGGAGGGAACCAATCAGCTCCTGTCTAGTAATCCTCTTTGTCTTTGTATTTTAGTCCATGGCCGGGAGATGAGGAAAACCTCCGAGGATTGTCTCACTTTGTCTCCAGACTGGAAAGTAGAAGATAGGACATCACACAGTATAGTTTCCAGGAGAAAACCCGGCTCCCTCCAATGTCCATCCGGCACCACCCAGTTGTAGATGGACCAGAGGATAATGGACCATCGGTAACAATTCCTCGTATCCTGAGGAACCTCAGACTGTGTGGGGACCGGGCCGGCCCTTCTAACAGAGAAGAGGTTTTCCTTTACTGAGTGCGGGAAGGGTTTTTTTCACCCAATCCAAACTGTTTACAGTCATCAAAGATCTCACAAGGGGAAAAAAAACGTATTCCTGTTCTGAGTGCTTGAAAGGTTTTTTTTTATACAAAAGTCGGATCTTGTCACACATGAGAGATCTCACACGGGAGAAAAAAACCATATTTCTGTCCTGAGTGCGGGAAATGTTTTACGAGGAATTCCACTCTCTACAGACATCAGAGATTGCACACGGGGGATAAAAAGCGTTTTTAGTATTCCTGTCTTAATTGTGGGAAATGTTTTAAACAAAAATCAGTACTTGTCACACATCAAAAATCCTCACACAGGTGAAAAGCCGTTTTTCCTATCCTCAGTGTGGGAAAAGTTTTTCACAGAAGTCCAGTCAGTACAGACCTCAGAAATTGCACACGGGGAAGAAGCTGTATTCCTGTTCTGAATGTGTGAAAAATATTTTCAAAAAAAATCAAAGCTTGTCACACATCAGAGATCTCACACAGGTGAGAAAGCCATATTCCTGCCCTGAGTGCGGGCAATGTTTTTTCACAGAAGTCCAATTCTTTCCATACATCAGAGATTGCACACACAGGAGAGAAGCCACATTCCTGTCCTGAGTGCGGGAAATGTTTTTCACAGAAGTCCAGTCTTTACAAACATCACAGATTGCACACGGGAGAGAAGCCATTTTCCTGTTCTTGAGTGCGGAAAGTGTTTTTCGGATAAGTCCAATTTCTACAAACCATCAGAGATCTCACACGGGGAAAAAAGCCGTATTCCTGTCCTGAGTGCGGGAAATGTTTTGTACAAAAATCAGAACTTGTTACACATCAAAGGTCTCACACGGGCGAAAAGCCGTATTGCTGTCCTGAGTGTGGGAAATTTTTTTAAGGAAGTCCCATCTTTCCAGACATCAGAGATCTCACACGGGGAGAAGCCACTTTCTTATCCCGAGTGAGGGAAATGTTCCTCACTGGAAGTCCTGTCTTCCTGTACATCAGGATCCCACACAGCCCTGGAGGTTTATTAGTGCCTTGAGTGCGGGAAATGTCTTCTAGATGAATGTTGCTGGACATCCCAGCTCTTCATGTGGGGAAGAAGCACACCCTGATATACACCTCAGATTTATACTCCATGGCTGATCTTCATCATGGAAGAAACAGTTCATAAGGAGATCAGTCATGGGTCACCAAAGACATGGATGAAGTGTGGGACCGGGTTGGCCATTGTGATAGCAGGAGAAAAAATAAAAATGGTGTTATTACCTTTCATTGGCTGAGTACATTTTGTGGTGTAAGCTCTCACAGACCTGGATGTAGCAAACCACTTAAACAATGACTCTTGTTCAGTCTTCTCAGAAATAAATTATACTAACAATAACAAGTTGGGAAAATCATATTGGTTCCAGTAATGATGTTTCATTTTTAGGATTTCCAGAGACAGAGGCAGCAGAGGAACTGGCTCCATTAAAGATTAATTAATCAATGGGTCCTGATGGATCATCCCAGAGATCTCAGATAACTTTGAGGTCTGGTTGTTGGACCAGTAAATGATCTATTTAATCGATCACTTCTAACAGGAGAAGTTCCTCATGGACTGGTGGACAGCTAATGTTACCGATCCACAAGAAGGGCAGCAAGGTAGAAGCTGGCAATTACAGGCCAGTGAGTTTACCATCGGTGGTAGTGAAGTTAATGGAATCTCTTCTGAAAAGAAGGATCATTGATCACCTAAAAACACACAACATGCTGGATCCAAAGCAACATGGCTTTACTAAGGGCAGATCATGTCAGACTCATCTGACTGAATTATGTGACTATATTACCAATGTTTTGGACCAGGGTGGTGCTGTGGACACGGCTTATCTTGATTTCAGCAAGGCATGTGATACAGTCCACATAACGATCTAATACAAACATTGGACGAGCTAGGACTTAGACCTTGGGTGGTTCAGTGGATGTGCAGCTGGCTAAAGGAGAGATACCAGAGTGGTTGTAAATGGGGTTCACTCAGAACAGAGAGCAGTCACTAGTGGTGTACCCCAAGGTTATGTACTGGGACATGTTCTATTTATTCTATATGTAAGGGATAGAACTAAAGGGTTGTTGGGTAAGGGGATGTCTCTTTGCTGATGACACAAAGGTGTGTAATAGGGAGGATATCCCTGGAGGTGTCTGTAACATGGAACCGGAGTTGGCATTGTTGGAAGATTGGTCAAAAAAGTGGAAATTGCAGTTCAATGTTTCTAAATGTAAAATAATGCACCCAGGGAAAAGGAATCCATTGAGTACAACATTGGGGGTACATTGTTGGCCAGCACTACAGAGGAAAATAATTTTAGGGGTACTTTTTCAGATAATTGTGAATTGAGCAAAAAGTGTGGCCAGGCAGTGGGGAGAGCGAATATAATTCTAGGATAATTTCACTAGAGGGGTCTCCGTCAGGAGGAAGGAGGGTCCCGATTCCTCTATATAGATCTTTATATCACTAGAGGTGTCACCAGCAGGAGGAAAGAGGTCCCGATTCCCCTATATAGATCTTTATATCACTAGAGGGGTCACCGGCAGGAGGAAGGAGGTCCCGATTCCTCTATATAGATCTTTATATCACTAGAGGGGTCACCGGCAGGAGGAAGAAGGTCCTGATTCCTCTATATGGATCTTTATATCACTAGAGGGGTCACCGAAGGGAGGAAGGAGGTCCCGATTCCTCTATATAGATCTTTATATCACTAGAGGGATCACCAGTAGGAGGAAGGAGGTCCTGATTCCTCTATATAGATCATTATATCACTAGAGCAGCGGTTCTCAACCTGGGGGTCGCGACCCGTTTGGGGTCGAACGACCATTTCCCAGGGGTCGCCTAAGACCATCGGAAAACACATATTTCCGATGGTCTTAGGAACCGAGACACCGCTGCAGTCTCCGGCGATGTGTGGGCGGGATGATACGCTGCTGTCACCTGGCCACACCTCCGGGATCGCTCAGCAGCTCCGCCTCCTCGCCGCTGATTGGCCACCGGAACTGTAGCTCAGGAGAGGCACACAGGCGGCCAATCACCGGCGAGGAGGTGGAGCTTGGAGAGGAGGAGCCGAGCGGCAGCGCGCGTACATCAAAGAAGACCGAGGAAGCTGCCGGAGTCGAGTGAAGAGGAGAGCGGCCAGAGAAGGAAGACAGCTGACAGGTAAGTGAGAGAGCGAGCCCAGGCTGGAGCAGGGGTCAGCAAAGTAAGTATCATTGGTGTCAGTGGGAGGAATAGTGCCCCATCATTTGTGTCACTAATACCAACGATGGGGCACTATTCCTCCCCCCACTGACACCAACGATGGGGCACTATTCCTCCCCCCACTGACACCAACGATGGGGCACTATTCCTCCCCCCCACTGACACCAACGATGGGGCACTATTCCTCCCCCCACTGACACCAACGATGGGGCACTATTCCTCCCCCCACTGACACCAACGATGGGGCACTATATCCTCCCCCCACTGACACCAACGATGGGGCACTATTCCTCCCCCCACTGACACCAACGATGGGGCACTATTCCTCCCCCCACTGACACCAACGATGGGGCACTATTCCCCCCCACTGACACCAACGATGGGGCACTATTCCCCCCCCCCCACTGACACCAACGATGGGGCACTATTCCTCCCCCCACTGACACCAACGATGTGGCACTATTCCTCCCCCCACTGACACCAACGATGGGGCACTATTCCTCCCCCCACTGACACCAACGATGGGGCACTATTCCTCCCCCCACTGACACCAACGATGGGGCACTATTCCCCTCCCCCCACTGACACCAACGATGGGGCACTACTATTCCCCCCCCACTGACACCAACGATGGGGCACTATTCCTCCCCCCACTGACACCAACGATGGGGCACTATTCCCCCCCCCCCCCTGACCCCAATGATGGGGCACTATTCTCCCCTCCACCACACTGACATCAATGATGGGGCACTATTCCTCCCACTGACACCAATGATGTGGCACTATTCCTCCCACTGACACCAGTGATGGGGCACTATTCCCCCCACTGACACCAGTGATGGGGCACTATTCCTCCCACTGACACCAATGATGGGGCACTACTCCCCCCACTGACACCAATGATGGGGCACTACTCCCCCCACTGACACCAATGATGGGGCACTATTCCTCCCACTGACACCAGTGATGGGAGCACTATCTCCTCCCACTGACACCAGTGATGGGGCACTACTCCCCCCACTGACACCAGTGATGGAGCACTACTCCCCCCACTGACACCAATGATGGGGCACTATTCCCCCCACTGACACCAATGATGGGGCACTACTCCTCCCACTGACACCAATGATGGGGCACTACTCCTCCCACTGACACCAATGATGGGGCACTACTCCTCCCACTGACACCAATGATGGGGCACTATTCCTCCCACTGTCACCAAATGATGTTTCACTATTCCCCCCACTGACACCAGTGATGGGGGCACTACTCCTCCCACTGACACCAGTGATGGGGCACTACTCCCCCCCACTGACACCAATGATGGGCACTACTCCCTCCACTGACACCAATGATGGGGCACTACTCCCCCCACTGACACCAATGATGGGGCACTACTCCTCCCACTGACACCAATGATGTGGCACTATTCCTCCCACTGACACCAATGATGGGGCACTATTCCTCCCCACTGACACCAATGATGGGGCACTATTCCTCCCACTGACACCAACGATGGGGCACTATTCCTCCCACTGACACCAACGATGGGGCACTATTCCTCCCACTGACTACCAACGATGGGGCACTATTCCTCCCACTGACACCAACGATGGGGCACTATTCCTCCCACTGACACCAACGATGGGGCACTATTCCTCCCACTGACACCAACGATGGGGCACTATTCCTCCCACTGACACCAACGATGGGGCACTATTCCTCCCACTGACACCAACGATGGGGCACTATTCCTCCCACTGACACCAACGATGGGGCACTATTCCTCCCACTGACACCAACGATGGGGCACTATTCCTCCCACTGACACCAACGATGGGGCACTATTCCTCCCACTGACACCAACGATGGGGCACTATTCCTCCCACTGACACCAACGATGGGGCACTATTCCTCCCACTGACACCAACGATGGGGCACTATTCCTCCCACTGACACCAACGATGGGGCACTATTCCTCCCACTGACACCAACGATGGGGCACTATTCCTCCCACTGACACCAACGATGGGGCACTATTCCTCCCACTGACACCAACGATGGGGCACTATTCCTCCCACTGACACCAACGATGGGGCACTATTCCTCCCACTGACACCAACGATGGGGCACTATTCCTCCCACTGACACCAACGATGGGGCACTATTCCTCCCACTGACACCAACGATGGGGCACTATTCCTCCCACTGACACCAACGATGGGGCACTATTCCTCCCACTGACACCAACGATGGGGCACTATTCCTCCCACTGACACCAACGATGGGGCACTATTCCTCCCACTGACACCAACGATGGGGCACTATTCCTCCCACTGACACCAACGATGGGGCACTATTCCTCCCACTGACACCAACGATGGGGCACTATTCCTCCCACTGACACCAACGATGGGGCACTATTCCTCCCACTGACACCAACGATGGGGC